ACTACAAGGGAAAGCGACCTGGTTCAGCCATTGGGCTTGAGGCATAGAGAAACTTTTATTTCATTATTTAAAAACTTTTATTTCATTATTTATTTATTTATGTTATTTATAGTCCACCTTTCTCACTAGGGCTCAAGGCGGATTACAACACAGTGAGTCAATACAATCAACAGGATGGGATGTCGTTGAGCAGTGCCGTAGGAATTAGGGTTGTAGAACCAACCAGAAGTCTAAAAACAGAACCGAGGCAAAGTTTAAGTATTAACACGACACATTAAATGATGCAAAGATTACACAGTAGGATCCTTGTTTCATCAAGCTATACACAGTAGTATAGACTGCAGTCCCTGATAATGTATCCAAGTAACTTTGGCCCCGGTCACACGGGCCGGATATCGCGGAGGGGGATGCGTGGCTAATTGCCCCAGCGCAGTTTGATGCGCGATCACACGATCAGACGCGCCGGTGGCACACCACGGGTCCTTCCCTCGGCGCCGGCGGGTAAATGAGGAACCAGAGGGGAATGCTGCGCGCCGGCGCGATCACACCACAGGCGTCTTGAGGCAGCCCGTGGCAAACGTTTACGAGTACCTTGGAGGTACTAGTTTTTTAAGGTGCATTGTCGGCGGTAAGCCACGGGTGCACTCCACTTCCCAGATGTTGGGGTGTGATCGTGCCCGGATAATCCGCCCACCATCCGTGCCTCTCCCGCGGCAACTTTGCCGTGTGACCGGGGCCTTTGTGAAACATTTAGTACACTGCGACTATATGGACTGCACAGGAAAGCCCTCTTGAATAATTCAGTTTTGCGTAGTTTGCAGAAATCCAGGAGAGCGGGAGCCTTCCTAACCAGGTGGGTCACTCTATAAGATGGGAGCCACAATGGAGACTGCGCATGTACTGGCAGTTGTTGATTTTGCCCATTTGCAGGTTGGCATCTGCAGAAGATACTGCTCTGCTGAGCAAATCAGTCATGGCAGAGCGTAGGGAGAGAGGGGGTCTCGCAGATGTGAGGGTCAGAGGCCATGAAGGACATGGTATGTGACAGCCAATACCTTAAATTGAACCCAGAAACTGATGGGCAGCCAGTGAAGTGCCTGCAGGATGGGTGTAATATGTGTAGTACTCCATCTGGCTCTCGATAATAGCCGAGACATGGCACTCCACACCAACTGGATTTTTCCAAATTGTTATGTTTAAAATAAAAGGTAAAGGTTCCCTTGCTCGAAAGCCAGTCGACTCCGACTCTAGTGTTGCGGTGCTCATCTCCGTTTCAAAGCCGAAGAGCCAGCGCTGTCCGAAGACGTTTCCGTGGTCATGTGGCCAGCATGACTAAACACCAAGGCGCATGGAATGCTGTTACCTTCCCACCAAAGTGGTACCTCTTTATCTACTTGCAATTTCTTGCTTTCGAACTGCTAGGTTGGCAGGAGCTGGAACTAGAGATGGGAGCTCACTCCGTCATGCGGCACCTGGGTCTCGAACTGCTGAACTCCTGACCTTCCACAGCCTGCAGTTCAGCTTCTTAACCACTTGAGCCACCGCAGCTCCTTTAATATTTACGTTTAAAATAGGAAGGGTCAAAAAGCAGAGAAAGGAAAGAAAAGCACTCTGATAGGGTTAAGGTTACCAAGCAAAGACAAACAAGTACAAATTATCTAATGCGTCTGAATTTAACTGCCCTTATCTAAAACAAGCTGTCCTGGCCCATGCAGGCAGTGGGCACCCTGCTTACCAGTCCTAGAAAAGTACACACAAGGCCCTAGGAAGGAGGGTTTTATCTGTTAACTATCAGGTCCCTACCTGATTCAGGATTGATTGCCACTTCCCTCCAAATAAGCAAGAGCCAGTCGTGCACCCTGACTTCCTGTAAAGCTCTGGGCAAGAAGGGGGCTTATCCTTCTATTCTCCCAGGGGAAAATGTCTCTATTAAGCTTATTTAAAAAACACTACCCTGAAACGTAGGGGGGGGAGAGAGACATTGGAGAAGGAAACGTTTTGGGTTGCCAGCTCTGGACTGGGAAATACCTGGAGATTTGGGGGGTGGAGCCTGGGGAGGGCGGGGTTTGGGGAGGGGAGGGTCCTCAGCACAATATAATTCCATAGCGTCCACCCTCCAAAG